TGAGTCTGCCCACAGGTGGGAGATTGACCATCTGGTCAACTGGTGCAGCCAGAACCACCTGGAGCTCAACCCTCTGAAGACAGTAGAGATGGCAGTGGACTTCAGAAAGAGCACAGCCCCACCCTCCCCCATCATCCTGTGTGAATTCCTAGTCACCACTGTGGACTCCTTCCGCTTCCTGGGCACCATCATCTCCCAGGACCTCAAGTGGGAGCTGAGCATCACCTCCTTCACCAAGAAGGCCCAACAGAGGATGCACTTCCTGTGGCAGTTGAAGAAGTTCAGCCTGCCAAAGACAATGATGGTGCACTTCTACGCTGTCATCATTGACTCCATCCTCACCTCCTCCATCACCATCTCGTTATCATTCACTCTGCAGAGAAGGTGATTGGCTGCAGTCTTCTATCTCTTCAGGACCTGTACACCTCCAGGACTCTGAGGCATGCAGGAAAGATTGCAGCTGACCTCTCCCATCCCGGTAACAAACTGTAACAGTCAGGCAGGAGGCTGTGGTCCATCAGGAACAAAATCTCTCGCCATAAAAACAGCTTCTACCTTCTGCAGCTAGCCTCATTAACAAGGCCCCAGGTGCCTCACTGACACTTCCCCCTTCCCTCTCAAATACTGTATATCTTTGCACATGTAAATATTATTTCATTTCACATCATTGCACATACCCGGTATATTGCACATATTTGTTGTTTGTTAAGTGTTAATAGTTATTCTTCTATGTTTTATATTTTGTCAATTTATTTATTTATATCATCTCATTATTGCACATTTATATATTTCTACATTTATTTATCAACTGTATGATTGTTTAAGTGTAACACCTTATCTCCAAAGCAAATTCCTCATACATGTAAAAAAACACTACTAGGCAATAAAGTTCTTTCTGATTCTGATTGTAGAACAGTGTAATTTCTTCAGTGTTGTCACATGAAAAGATATAATCAAATATTTACACCAGTGTGAGGGGTGTACTAACTTTTGTGAGATACTGTAACTGTTGTTGTGAATTGGTGCTATTTTGTCACCCCCTTTGAGCTGTTGTGAAGGTGATTTTTGAGGCAGTAGGTCTGGGTGATGCTACAGTTTTGAGATGGTAGGCTCAGTGGTTTTTCCCATTGCCTTGGAAGCAAAGAGTTTCCCAAGCCTCCTGTGTCACCTTCCTTATGTCCTACATTGAGAGGTTACCTTGATGTGTCCTAAGTACAATGTCAGTGTGCACACATGGGTAAAGGTTCTGTAAGAACAAGGACTTAAAGATGGGGGTTTCTTTCACACCTGGTGCATTCTTGCCCTGGAAGTACACATACCTCAAATGTTTATAAAATAATTCCAGGATGCTCACATTTAAAATGTCTGATTTGGGGGGCTGCAATCATTGCTGTGATCTTGTCAGCAGTAGAAGAGAATTCTTCTTCTGCTTGATGGAGCTCTTTGGAGTCATTTCTGACACTGGGAGGTTGTGTCTGTAAAACTTGTGCACAGCTTTATATGGATAGCTTTGGATGCAGTTTGTGCATCACACTTATGTTGGGGATAAGGGTTAAAATGGCATCAAGATTTAAATTAAATAATAATAATTATTGCTATTATTTAATAATAAATAATACAATGTAACTTAAAGTCAGATCCACTCTAAACAATTAATTTGGAATTCTGGGTGGCAGATGTTTCATGTCCAGACCTACAAAAACCCTCTAGGAGCAGTTCTCTAAACCCAACAGGAGAATTAATTTGATCTACTTGAATTTTTCACTGTGCAATCTAAAGGCATTGACGATTAAAAGTTGTACTACTTGTGAGTTTTTTTAAAGGGTATGTCTGTGGGGTGGCATCAAAGATTGATGATTTGCCATATAACAGAGGTTGTTGGTACTTTAAAGTACATGCTCACATCTGTGACAAATTTTACAATGATTGATAAGAGCCCTGCCCTGAACACATCTACATGCAAATATTCACTCAATGTCGCGACCTACTGTAAACAGGACCTCATTTAATTTAAATTACATTTTGTCAGTGTAGTCCACACTTGATGTACTGGGACATAACATATGATTTGCAGATGTTCTGTAGCGCCACACAGGGGACACAGAGGGTGACGTTTAACTACTTTGTGAGGTGTCTCCTAACCTCCTGCCACTGCACCGCTGCCACACCGTGCCCTGCTGCACATCACGGCGTGAGGGCCTGTCCAATGCTGCTTGCAGCATTAATTGGTGTTTGTGCCCTGGGATGGCACAGGTAACCACCAAGACTCAAATCTGTAGGGTAGCTGGCATGGAAACTGCTGATTCTAGTAAGAAAAACAGCCAAGAGATGAGATCATGCTTCACTTTCAATAGGATCATTGCACGTTTAATCCTGCTCAAAGGAATTAAGGGACCACTTCATGTCAATTAAACTTCAGCCGCCAAGTAGCGCAACAGACTGTCCAGGAGCTCACTGACGCCCCGATCCAGGTCTGTAAGGAGTCATTCACAGATATTGTTGGGAGTGCATACAGGCACATGGGCGCCATACCCCCAATGGCTCACATTATGAGTTGCCATGATGCAAGTCACTCAAGCTGGATCAGCCTGTGATTTCAGTTTTTTACTTCAGTGTGATTTTGAATCCAGCCCTCAACCGCTTGAAGATTTTTGATTTTCTAATATATCAGTCTTCTTCACCTCCTGTGGTCATGTTCTCTGTCTGAAGTCTTTCCTGTCTGCCAAGGTATGTTGAGATTTGATAATTGTCACCGGATACTGACACTGGGGCTGATAGTTTAAACCTGTCACCAAAGGCAAGCATCAACCTCCTATCAATCAAAGAGAGCCTCTTAACCTCCTTTCTCACTCGCCTCACCCCACCATCCAGCTCTGAATAACTTTGGATTAATCTGTCCTTTCTTTCTTTACTTCTCAGGCAAATCTCCCTCTATCTCGCTCTGAATGCCAAATACTGTAGTGTTTGGCTCCTGTCTTCACATCACACTTGAGTAGAATGATCTCTCTCTCTCTCTCACACACACACACATACACACAGAGTCACAACCTGTACTTTTTCCTTCTGCACATTAATGGAGATTCTCTCAGTTCCTCAGGAAGGAATTACTGCCACTTGTTGAGACCTTACATTCATTGTCTATCACAAACACACTTACAGACCCACAGTAAAAAGTCATACATACACAACACACACATAGCTTGCATGCTCCTTTGCTCATTCATGCATATTCTATTTCTTCAATTATGTACTCTTTTTGCATACATAAATATAAAGATACACTATATTGCCACAAGTTTTAGGACACCCCTCCAAATCATTTAATTGAGGCCACATGTGTATAAAATCAAGCACTTAGGCACACAGACTGCTTCTACAAACATTTGTGAATAGGTCGCTCTCAGGAGCTCAGTGAATTCAAGCATGGTGCCGAGATAGGTTGCCACCTGTGCAATAAGTCCATTTGTGAAATTTCCTCACTACTAAATATTCCACGATTGACTGTTAGTGGTATTATAACAAAATGGAAGCGATTGGGAACAATAGAACATCAGCCGCAAAGTGGTAGGCCACATAAAATCACAGAGTGGAGTCAGCGCATGCTGAGGCATACAGTATGCAGAAGTCATCAACTTTCTGCAGAGCTAATAGCTACAGACCTCCAAACATTGTGTGACAACAGTGCTGTATAGAGCTTCAAGGAATGGGTTTCCATGACCGAGCAGCTGCATCCAAGCCTTCCATCACCAAGTGCAATGCAAAGCGTTGGATGCAGTGGTGTAAAGTACGCCGCCACTGGACACTAGAGCAATGGAGATGTGTTCTTTGGAGTGACAAATCACACTTCTCTGTCTGGCAATCCAACAGACGAGTCCGGGTCTGGAGGTTGCCAGGAGAACGGTACTTGCTTGACTGCATTGTGCCAAGTGTAAAGTTTGTGGGAAGGGGGATTATGGTGTCGGATTGTTTTTCAAGTGTTGGGCTTGGCCCCTTAGTTCCAGTGAAATGAACTGTTAATGCTTCAGCATACCAAGACATTTTGGACAATTTCATGCTCCCAACTTTGTGGCAACAGTTTGGGGATGGCCCCTTTGGGTTCCAATATGACTGTGCACCAGTGCACAAAGCAAGGTCCATCAAGACATGGATGAGCAAGTTTGATGTGGAGAACTTGACTGGCTGGCACAGAGTCCTGACCCCAACCTAATAGAACACCTTTGGGATGAATAAGAGCGGATACTGAAAGCCAAGCCTTCTCGTCCAACATCTGTGCCTGACCTCACAAATGCGCTTCTAAAAAAATGGTCAAGAACTCCCATGTACACACTCCTAAACCTTGTGAACAGTCTTCCCAGAAGAGTTGAAGCTATTATATCTGCAATTCGTGGGCCAGCTCCATATTAAATCCTAGTGTTTAAGAATGGGTTGTCATCAACCTTCATGTGCATATAAAGGCAGGCGACCCAAAACTTTTGGCAAAATAGTGTAGTTAAATCTTGCCATTATCATTTTTTCCTATAGGAACTAAAATAAAATAGGAGGAATAGTGAGCAGGGAAGGATTTGTTGAAACTGATTTTCACTCAGCTTTTATGCTCTCTCTCTATCTCTCTTACTGACCTCATTTATCTCCCTCGCCTCAAACCATCTCTCTCACATCACTTTCTCTGCACTGGCTCGTTGACTTCCTTCACTCAGTTCAGTTCAGTCTTATTAACACTTCCTCGCACAGACCAGATAAAATCGTCTGTATCTGCTCAATCTGTTTTCAGACTCAAACTTCAGTGAATTTTGGAATAAACTTCCCTTTGTTAAAGGATTAAATTATATTAATATCCAAACACTATAAATCAGCATTATTTATTTATTGATTCCGTAGAAGCAGCCAAAAATCAACAAGAATATTCTCTTTCTAAGCAAATTTACAGTGGCAAAGAAAAGACATACATCAGGGAAAAAAAACACATACACACATACATCTCCTTGTCGAACCTGACCTACCTCAGTGAGGTGCGGGTTGGGGTTGAATCCACACTGGTTACAGACGGTGGCCTTACACTGGGTGCAGGTGTTGTAGTTGGGTCCAGTCGGTCGGTTGGAGAGCTCTGTAGTGGTGCAAACTGGGCACAGTTTGCTGCTCGGCATTGGTGCAATCTGCGGCACAGAGTAGGGCGAGGTGGGCGTCACTCCGTGGTCAGGAGACACAGAGCCTGTCCTGGAACCACTGAAGTCAACTTGGAGGTTTCGACGGGAAGCATGCTGACCAGGACTTTGACCTCCATGGCCTCCCATGCTGGACCCGGCTAGATCGTGACCCATCCCATGGCCAGAACCTGGGCCCTTCCCAGTGCTGAGCCCCAGGCTTGACTGCAGATGTCGGGGGGGAGTTGGACTTTCGTGAGCGGCCAGGCGGTAGGGCTCACCAGCTCGGGATCCTATTCCTCCACCAGTGCCCGTGCCCCCTCCTATTTCACCTCTTGCTCCTATTCCTCCCATTCCACCTCCTCCTATTCCTGTCATTCCTCTTCCTCCATGGCCTTCTTGATGCATGCCAGGCTTGGGGCTACCCATCAGACTCATTGGACCCCTGAAAAAGAGGGACAAAGCAAAAGAGATAAACATCAAATCAGATTATGACTTTCACTTATTGGTAAAGTCTAAATTACATTAAAAGTTCATGTTTTCTGTATGGATATTGTGTGTTGGCTGCCCCCCCCCCCTCCCCACTCAACCCAAACTGGTTGAGTCAGATGACCGGCCACCCTGAGCTATAGTTCTGCTCAAAGTTTCTGCCTCTTAAAAAGACGTTTTTCCTTGCTTCTGTTGCCAAGTGCTTGCTCACTGTGGGAATTGTTGGGTCTCTGTAAATAATATTACAAAGAGTACAGTCTAGACCTGCCTCATATGAAAAGTGCAAAGAGATGACTTTTGTTATGAATTGGTGCTATATAAATAAAACTGAAATTAATTGAATTTAACATATGTTACAAGTTAAGTGATCAAATATCCATACACCCCTATGATCAAAACTGTAAACACAACGCACTTCTTTACACTCAGTTTGCAATTCAATAATACACTTCCAGCAAAACTGGAAACATTACTATGTTTTGCTACATGATTTTGCCAATTGGCATTCCACATTAACACATGTGAAAACACTTTTAGATAATTAGTTCACTTACCAATGAGAGCTTGAGCACTATAAATAATCACAGGTAAACATTTGGTTTGGCTAACAATGGAGGCTGACATTGAACACAGAGTATGAGGGGTGAGAATTAAAAGAAGAAGAGGAGGACAAAGACGAGGAGGCGAAGAAGGAAGAGGATGAGGAAGAGGACGAGGCAGAGGATGAGGAGGTGAAGAAGTAGGAGGAGGGCAGGGGAGACGAAGAGAAGTAAGGAACATAATAACTGATGAAATCAGAGTTGTGGTTGACCATATTGTCAATCATGGTATGAGCTTGAGGGAAGCTGGGCAACGGGTTCAACCAAATGTCAACCGCTATACTGTTGCATGTATCATCCAGATATTTCGAAATGAGAACCGGTAATTAACTGTAAGTGCTGTACAGCACTGGTACTGGTTCAGTAATATGCAGTGAAATTACAAGGATCACTACTACTAAACCAATCAAATGTTTTTACAGAATTGCAAGAAAACCAGTATCTGGTGAAAGAGGCTGAGTGTTCACCCTAGAGCAGGAGACCCACATTGGAAATATGGTCATTGCAAATATCTGCATCAAACTCAGAAAACTACAGGACCACATACTAGCAGATAACACAGTGTTCCAAAACATCAACAGAGTGAGTCTCTCTGCTCTGTCTCGTCTACTAAAATGTAACATAGTTAGGATGAAGCAGCTGTACAGAGTCCCTTTCAGAAGAAACTCAGTGTTAAACAACTGAGATATGAATAAGTGCAGATACTATCCTGTCTTTGGAACTGGATCTGCAAGTGTGCAGTGTCATATTCACCGATATCTGTCTTTTTGCACCGTGCTAAAATTGTTTTCTCTTGTCTCTTTCAGAGAGTCATGGAACCATATGCAGCTGCAATGCATATTAAGCTAATATATGTGGACAAGGCAGGTTTCAACCTTGCAAAAATAAGGCGCTGGTGCAGAAATGGTGGCAACATAACAATGTGTGCGGCTTTTAGACAAAACTGTGTCCTTCACCATCATACTTAGTTCCATACAACACTGCACACATTATCACATTTCTGGACACCTCTACAACATACTAGTTATTCCTAATGACCAGGGCCAGAGCATCCCAGGTATGTCATCATCTGTGACGTTAGTTTCCACCGTTAGTTGCTTTGGTCCACAAATGGTTCACCCACTTTTCACTTCACTAAATCTCCCCCCATACTCTCTGTTCTTGAATTCTATTGAAGAATTCTTCTCTGCATGGCATTGGAAGGTGTATGATCACCAGCCCTACAAATGCATATCCCTTCCACAGGCAATGGAGGAGGCATGCGAAGACAACGATCATGGGTCATGCCAGGCCTGGACATGGCATTGCAGGTAATACTTTCCACGCTGCCTATCTCAAGAAAACATTGTGTGTGATGTGGATCGTTTGACCAAACCCACAAAGACCAAGTTTTTCCTTCTATTTCTTTCTAGTCCAAATGTATATTTTTTTATTCTACTGAGCTTTTGTTTGAGTGGTAGATTTTGTGAAAAAATAAAATTCCCCCTATTTATATTGATAGTTTGTTCTGTTTGGAATTCACATACCTACAACATTTGGAAACCTGTGTGTATGTGTGTTTTATTGTACTACATGCATGACAAAACCTTATTGCTAACTGCTATGCCCTATACATAGAAAAAGCAACAGCTAACTGTTATTCATTTATATTATCAGTGCATAGTTGCTGCTTTGTGTGCTTATTCAAAGACTTTTGTGTGTACTGTATTCATGTAAAAACACCATTTTTGAAGACCAAAATAGTTTAAAGACTTATGCAAGACTTTGCTTTTGCTAACTATTTGATCAGAGTAGCTGCCAGTTAACTGTGAGGGCTTGCTACTTTCACCTAATGAATTGAATTTCCACACAATACCTTATACCCCAAAGCAAAACATTATACATCTCTTGCAAAAGCAATGTGCTAATGCTATCTAGCTTTCAGCAAACAAAACTGACGATTGCTAGCTAAAAATGAGAAGCCTTTGAAAGATTCAGGTTCAGGTGGCTTGAAAGTGAAGACATATTGCAACCATGACAATCTGACAAGGGAATTATGGAAGTGGACCGGTATTGACCTTATTCTTTTCAGCAACAAGTAAGTGTGCCAACTATTTTGTCTTTTAACTTTCTGTCTACACCAGTGTGTTGCACTGTGTGAAGATGTTGCTATTGCTTCTGATCAACTTCTGCTTGACATATTAGCAAACACCTGACTACTATTAATTTATAACATACAGCGTGAAAGCCCACCAGACCTGGAAGAAAATTAGGCTTTCTTCTACAGCAGTTGACAAACATCAAGCACTATTTACATAGTGACCCTGAGTAGATCAGTTCTCCACACTTTGATGGGATAAGCTAGTCATCTTACCCTGGCTATTATCTTATAATAGCTGGCTATTGTCTTATAATAGCCATGGTGATTGTTCAGAATGTGTTTTATTATGTGTTTATAACAATATGATATTATAACACAAGTTGTCTGAGAGTGGCCATTCAAAGTGTTTGTTAACACAATATATCTTTGTCCAAGTATGTCTCTCTGTGTTACACTATTACACACAGCCTGGTATTTATATGGCATGTGCTTATTATTGTGTAAAAAGCTGATTTTTCAAAATGATATTAATAACATTTATATTATATGTCACATAGTTATTTTTTGAAAATATACGATTTTATTTTTGCTAATTCCAGACCAACACAGTAAAAATCATCTGGTTTAGTTATTGTTTATAAATAATAAATAATGTTAATGAGTAAATAACCTGCATCATTGCACAAGCAGAATATACAGTATCTCACAAAAGTATACAGAGTACACCCCTCACATTTTTGTAAATATTTGATTACACCTTTTCATCATTTATAACGTGTAAATTTGCTATCCCTTCAAAATAACACATCACGCAGCCATTAATGTCTAAACCTCTGGCATAAAAAGTGAATACAACCCTAAATGAAAATATTTTGTGTGGCCACATTAGCAATGAGCATGTGCACTCAACTTCTTTTGGTCGACCATGGCGAAGCCTGTTCTGAGTGGAACCTGTCCTGTTGAACCGCTGTATGGTCTTGGCCACCGTGCTGCAGCTCAGTTTCAGGGTTTCAGCCTAGGCCATCTTTACGTGGGGCAACAATTCTTTTTTCAGATTCTCAGAGTTCTTTGCCACAAGGTGCCACGTTGAACTTCCATTGACTAGTGTGATGGAGTGTGAGAGCAATAACACCAAATTTGACACACCTGCTCCCCATTCACACCTGAGACCTTGTAACACTAATGAGTCACATGACATTAGGGCAAAATGGCTAATTGGGCCAAATGTGGACATTTTCACTTAAGGGTGTACTAACTTTTGTTGCTAGCGGTTTAGACATTAATGTCTGTGTGATGTGTTATTTTGAGGGGACAGCAGTTATAAAAGCTGTACACTCAATACTTTACATTGTAGCTAAGTGTCATTTCTTCGGTGTTGTCACACGAAAAGATTAGTGTGAATAACCAATTATTGTTAAATCCATATAATATCTGGACTTGAACTAAATGATTTCATGTGAGATTGTTACGTAACATGGGGTAATGTTAACTTACACATCAAACTTACCACTGGTAACACAAAATTAGCAAACTGCACAGCAGACTAACATGAAGATGACAAGGATAAACTTGATCCTGAATCATGAGCATTGATTCTACTTTATTTTTTAGCTGCTGGTTGAAACCAGGCTACCATCCTTCTCCTTGTTGTCTCCTACAGATGACGTTGAAGCTAGGTACTACAGTGGATATTCTGTCAACTTATGGGAGGCAATATCGCTACTGCCACTTGCTGGTGTAGCTAGTAAACTGCTGTCACAGATCTGTCTTACAGATCTCTGTAATCTGTACCACAGAAATCTGTGGTACAGATTGGACAAGATTCCACAAATGTGCCCATGTGAGCAACCAGAACAAAATTTACATTTTTGGTGTAACATGATGCATGAAGAGTTGAATTGTGGTCAAGCCAGCGTTCAAGAGAAAAAATTCAGATGAGTTCCAAATACTGCTACACTCTAGCGATGAGGTCACTCACTCTAAGTCACGCAATTTATAGTTTTCACGTGATATCATGTTGTATGGGTTACGCTCCCTTGGAGGGCAAAAAAGACAAGGAAGCAGTGATCGACTACACTGTTACTTTGAGTTTGTTACTTTTGTGTCACCAAACTGCTGGATAGTTGTTGTGCTATTGGATGCACTAATCAGTGAGGTAAGGTGCAAGGTGTAAGGTGTAAGGTGAGGGATTCTCCACAAGTTAAATGGAAACATCACTGCAGTCCAGCTCTGGCAGGGACCTGGCGGTTTTTAATGGCAGAAATATGGCAGTGGGTG